CAGTCCCATGCCCCACCCTACCTGTGCAGGCCCAGCCCCACTCTCTCTTCACTGCTGCATGCACACTCCTCCTCACCCCTGCTGCAATCGCCAGAAGCTTGCAGCCAGTCTGCCTTGTAGCCCTACTGTTGCCCCGCGTTTGGGGAAGCTAAGCCCCGTTAGCCCTCCCTTCTACTACCTATGTCAATCCTCCCATTTGTCTAAGTTGCTCTGAATCCTAGCTCTATCCTCTAGTGTATCATCTACTCCCCCCACCTCCCAATCTTGGTGTCATCTGCAGACTTGCTGAGGGTGCACTGTATGCCCTCTTCCAGGTTGTTGATAAAGACACTGAATGAAAATGGCTTTAGGACCAACCCCTGGGCCACTCCACTTATACCAGCTGCCAAGTAGACATCAAGCCATTGATTACTACTGAGCCCAATGCTCCAGCCAGTTTTCTGCCCACCTTACAGTCCATTCACCCAGCCCATACTTCCTTAGTGTGCTTGTGAGAATGTTGTGGGAGACTGTATCAAAAGCCTTGCTAAAATCAAGGTACACCACATCTACAGAACCAGTCTGCTCCAGCTGGACTGAGTGGGTGCTGGGCTCAGTCTTGGATATGGATGGGTGGATTCCTCCTCCCTGCCTGCTCCCCGCAGTTGTTCTTTGCCACCCCAGGAGCAGGGAGAGTTAGCCTGCTCACCCTCCACTGCTGCTGCTATCCTGGGTTAAACCTAGCCCCTGTACATCCTGACTATAGAGTGGGACAGGTGTTGCCCCTGCTCTCAGGATAGTGGGGACATTAGCAGCAGCAGGTATGGGAGGGCGGGGATGTGCCTCTAAGCATGCAGGGGAAAGCAAGGGGAGAATTCTTACTTTCTTTAGGGGCTTTAAGTCCCTGGCTGTTGCTCCTGCCATGTGGTCAGACAGGAAGGGGTGCTGCTACATCTTTCTTCAGATCCACCCAAAGTGTGCATGCCAGTATAACTGCTCTCGTGCCTCTTCTAAAATCTCTCTGCTGATGTTCAGGACTACAGAAACTC